AAAAAAAGGTGTGCGGCATCATTTTTTTTCTTTTTATTTTTTCATTAATCAATCAATCAATCAATTTTTATTTTTATTTCTTTCTGCATTTCGATGTTTTTTTTTTTTTAATATAAAAAGACAAACAAATAAAATAAAAAATATAGGGGTCTAGAGCACGAAAAGCTCTACATCCCCATATATATATAATATATATATATATATTTACGTTTTTTTGGGGGGTGGTTTCGTCACTTTGTATGGTACCGGCCGTACGGCCGTACGACAGAACCCCCGTACGTTGCCCCTGACTTCAAACTCTCAAAAAAAAAAAAAAAAAAGGTTAGGTGGGGCTTTTCCCCAGTACACGACCTGCACTCTGAGACACAACACAACCCCTGACTTCAAACTCTCAAAAAATGAAAAAGAAGAAAGGTTAGGTGGGGCTTTTCCCCAGTACACGACTTGCACTCTGAGACATACTTCTATCTAGATTTCTACTAGACCTGCTTCCTTTCTAGGTGGGGTGGTTAAAACGCTCCAAAAAACCTAGTGGGGACAACATCCAAGGACAGAATTGCAGTCCCCCCTTTGAGTCTAGCTTGAGCAACTTACTATCTCTGCCCCATGTCTCATGCAGCCATTTCCTCGTAGAAGTCGTGTTGTTCACTCTTTGTCTTCGTCTGATTCAGTCACTGGTTATAATAAGTCGAATTAGTTGGGTGATCAATGTCTTGGTTGCAGCATCTGACTTGAACTTCCTCCTGAATAACTGGTTGTTGCCGTCATCCCAGCTTACTTTCATGATAATGCCCTTGATCGTTTGAGCCATATAGAGCCATTCTTTCTCTTCAGGCTTCTCCCAATGATGGATGCCTGAAACAATCCAATCGTCCCTCCAATCAAACTTCTCTTGTGTAATGCGATCCTAGTGCTGGATGAACCAAGTCCATATTCTACGAGAGGCTGGACAGGTCAACCATAGGTGGCGGTCATTCTCCCACATCCAGTTACAATGGATACATCTTTCTGAGATTTGCATTCCTCTTTGAAATAGATTAACCGCTGACGCTAAGGCCGAAAAAAGTTGAATCCATAACAGGCTTTGAATTGCTGACACAGAGAAAAAAGTTGAATCCATAACCAACTTTTGAGAGGGTAAGGCTTTGAATTGCTGACACAGAGAAAAAACTGAGTGGAAGTCAAAGTCAACAGATCATGTTCCTACCTCCTTCTGTTGATGGATTGGAAAGGTGGGTTCTTCGCTCTCCCTCTCAGATATGCCATGCCTGTTTCGGATTAATATTCATCCAAGTTGACCATCTTCTGTCCAATCTCTCATCCGACTGTACGAAAGTCAACAGCGGCTCTATTCAGGAGGGTAATTCCCTAAGGGAGCCTCACAACTTGAATGAATTTACTGTCCAACCAGCCGACGTTTTCTTCGTTGACAGTGTGACTGCTACTTCCTCAAGGCCTTCCAAAGAGTCCGGACGGATATCTGATTTAGGCGCCAGCTCTTTGGAAAAGCTAAAGGTATCTGTCCTCTCCCATACCTTTGCTGCGTAGCCTTCTGTACCTAGATCATCTGTAATTTGGTAAACCCTTTCTGTTGGATCCTGGCTGGGTATGCACAACAGACCTGCATCTGGAATACTATCTCCAAATTCCAATCAGTCGGTTCTTCCAAGACCAGGGTATTGCGTTAATCAAGGCCCTTAGTCTTTCCCCCACCTTTCTCAACTTTCTCAATTTACCCCTCAAATCCAATTCCGTATGTCATGACTTTGTTTCTACATTCCAGATGTCTCTGATTCTTAGTATTTCTTACTACACCTCGCTCAACCCAGACCTTACCAAAACAATCAGGGGAGTCATGAGCAGAGAATTCCTGACTAAATACATCTACTATAAGAGGATTCTCAAATAGGATTTGATTTAACACCGAATCTTCAGTCAGTGGGTGCAGTCTCTCAGTAGGAAAAAGCCTATGCCAAGCAAACAGGATATTTCTCCAGAAGGTCGATTTTGTTTTTTTGTTAGTATATGATCTGATCAGAAAACAAGCTACGACGTCTTCCTCTCGATTTAGGGACCATTCCCCTTTCAGAATGTAGACTGCCAACATCAACCAGGGTGACTCATCTCCTGCAAGTAGAGCTTTAACTACCCATTTCGCAAGTAATGCCCAGTTTTGTCTTTGAGGGTCTAAGATACCAAGGCCACTGTGACCTTCTGTTATGAAAAACGTGATTGTCTCCCACGCCACCTTTGACAAGAAGCCTTCTTGTTCGGAAGTTGTTCCTAAGCCTCCGTTTTTCACAGTACTTTAGTGGCTGCTCTCTTGATGTTCTTGTATGTTGCGTCACCAAGTAAATGAACTGCTAATGTGAACCATAGAACGACGAAGCCTGCCGTAGAAATCATCAAGGTTCTCCCCATAAGAGATAAATGCATAGTGCATTTCCAACTGGTGAGTCGATTGATTACCTTTTCTTTCGGAAGGGCATTTTGAAAAGTTGCGTTGTTGGCTACAGATACTTGCACTCCAAGAAATCGGTCAGAAGCATCTGCTGGTACTGCTTTTAATCCCCAATTGACCTTTAGCTGATATTCTTCTGGGAGAAAATAAATAGACTTATTCCAATTTATGGAAGCCTCCGAAAACTTACAATACTTACTAAGAATGTTTCTTCGGGTTCCTAGGTATTGTATAGTATTTCTACACGCAATAGTTAGATCCTCCACGAGTGCACCCCTCCTCCATTGTTTTGTGTTTGTTAGCTTTAGTCCTTCTAACTAGTCATTCACGGATATTATCCAAAAGAACTTCCAGATGCAGGACAAACAAGAGCGGGCCAATGGGACATCCTTGACACAAGGAGCGTGAGAGGGTGAACTGTTGTGAGAGTTGATCGTTTACCATTACAGCTGCAGTAGCAGATGAATACATGATTTTTAACCCACTGACCCTAAAAGGCTAAAAGGTATTGGTAAAGCAAAATGTCTTTTGGGCCTAATTCTTTGTGTTTTGTCCCTTTCAGGCCCATGTGCAAATTTGCAATCTGGACCACGTCATTGGAGCCTGGGCCTGCACCCTATTTTACACAGTTTGCCTTCATAATCAGTGGGCAACTTTCTGCAATACTTAGACCCGTCGGTGGGGCAGTTTACCTTCGTGATTCAAACTTTCAAACTCGCTTCAAGTCTCTGCCACTGTCTTATGTTGTGTTCGACAGCTTCATTCATCTTCCTCCCTGGTAAGCTTCCCCATATCCAGCACCTCCTATGCCACATCACCATCTCTCAAATCC